GCACACCGGCCACCCGGGCACCGGCTCCCCCTTGCGTGCCTGTGCTATTATGTTGGCATATGTTACATCATGTGTCTACCCCCGCTATATATGAGAGGACTAGGATACAAGTGTCCTACTAGGACACGACTCCACATCCTATGTAAACACAATACAACACATAGTCCAACTGTAACCTAGCTTGTACACAATATCCGACACAACTCTAACAAACTCCACCTTGGCGAATATTCTCCATCACCTTGAATTCGTCAATGCATCAAACTTCCATGTAGATTGGACTTGAGCTTATCCCATGAGCACTGCTGCTACTCCAAAGACTCTATATGACTCCACATGCAACTTGTAGTCCCTTCTTTTCTTGACCACAGTCAACACTCGAGCAAAATTAAGTTCCATGTTCCTCTAGTTTGTGCTCCCAACTTCCAGAGTATCCATCCAACGCCATCACACACCGATCACTAACCTGCGTGAAAGTGAACAACTCACATATTGGGTGTCACACATAAGAGTTAAATAAACTCAACATCATCGCTCCTTTCTTGACCGCCTGTCTGAAACATGAAGGAATTTCACCGTTGCTTGTAGTCATCCCGAGTCAAATTCGTAGTTGTCTCACCACATGTATGACCACCAGAGCCCTGGCCCATCTCCATGCCCCGTGTGTACTGCACGCCTCGCCGCTATTACCACATCGAGCCTCCGCTGTCCCGGTCGAGTCTCAAGGGTTGCGAACCCACACCACCCAACCCCTACTGCAGAGTACCACCGATCATCGCCGGCCGATGACGAGTTTCACGCTTCCATCAGACCACTGGGCTCCAGTCCAAATTACGTGTCACTTGCTTTTTTCCACTTAATAGGCTTCGACTCTCTGTGCACTTACGTTGTAGCCCCTCAATCCAGCTCCACCTTCAACATGACTCCATGGTAGATGATCAGTCCACCCTCGCGCCCCGTCGACTTCAAGCTCCGTGTGTACACCACCTTGAATCAATCCCACGTCGTAGTCTTGTCGAAAGCCACACAAGCCCTCGGGACCTGTGCCACGTGTTTCCACGCCCCAGAAGTCGGTCACCATCAGCGTCACGCTCATACGTCATTGTCGCCGATCCCACCACCGTCTTCTGTACCAACCGACTCGCGTCGATCCATCAGACTGCCCAGTCCGACCCAGCCGAACTTATCCAGTTGCATGACACGCTCTAGACTCCTCAAGCCATCACCGTATCCAACACCATCCATACACAAAAGTGTACCAGCAAAGAAAACCAAAGGAAAATCCCTCACAGCCTTCCCATGTGAACAACACACGTATATAGCTCCTGGACTTATCTTCTTTCTTTCTTCTTGATAGCATTCCGGTCTCGACTAGTCTTTGTGTCAAAAAGAATTCCCAAACAAATCTCAAGCATGTACGCACACAACCAGCTATCGCAACCACTTTGTGCCTGCCTCCAGCTCCATCCAACGCCGCACCAGCCAGCTGTTCTGGGCTGCACCAGGCTGCCACGCCTTGCACGCCCTCTCGCTGATCCGCTGCACTCGTGGGCCTTGGGCCGTCCGAGACGCGCCACTGCTGCATGCTGCTCGTGTGTTCCCTCGATCGCCACGTCTCCTGACGAGACCTCGCGCAGAACACGCCGCCGCCATTGGCGTACCCGCCAGCCTCCACGCCAAGACCTATCACACCGAAAACTGTTGCTGGCCTGCCACAAATCTGCTTCCGCTGTTGCCGTGCAAGTTGCTGCCTCCCGATTGCTTCGACTTCATCTTCCGTCCGTTGATACACGATCGTCTCTTATGACGAACTAAACTAGCGAACCAACTCGGCCTTTTCTAGATCAACAATTCAAGACCTCTAAACAACCTAGCTTTGATACCACTTGTTAGAATAAATCCGAGGCGCTCCGTCGATCTACCAAGGACCAAACAATCACACAAGCACAACACCGAGATTTGTTAATGAGGTTCATTGATATGGCTACATCCCCGGGGCCTGATTACGAGCGCTCCTCCCCGTGACACCATCACAATAGCGCACACCGGCCACCCGGGCGCCGGCACACGCCGCCGGCTCCCCCTTGCGCGCCTATGCTATTATGTTGGGATAGGTTACATCGTGTGTCTATCCCCACTATATATGAGAGAACTAGGATACAAGTGTCCTACTAGGAAACGACTCCATATCCTATGTAAACACAATACAACTCATAGTCCAACTGTAACCTAGCTTGTACACAATATTCGACACAACTCTAACAAGGAGAGCTTTCATACACTTATATCTCTAGCGCCTTTGGTTACCGCCTTGAGCTTATTCGATCGCCATAAATCCCTATAAATAGCAAAACCACCTGTTGTTCCTCCAGAAGAATTTTATTGCCAACACAAGCCTATGTTCCAAAGATATCCCATCTGGAGTCCTATTCTAGAGTTCTGGCAGAGGGGGAAGCCATTCTCGAAGCCTCTTCGTTAACCCCGGCTGCCTTCATGACTATGTGTGAGTAGTTCCTTCAGGACCTAAGGATCCATAATAGTAGCTAGATGGTTCTATCTCATTTTGGATCTTCAATACCATGTTCCCGTTCTTTCATGTGTGATTGGGGTCAATCCGATGTAATTTTGTTGTGTGTTCATTGGAACATGATGAATTGTGAGTTTATGATCAGATTGTTCATTGAATCATATTGAATCTTTTGAAGTTTCGTTGCTATATAATTAAGTAACTATATATATATATATATATATATATATGTATATATATATATATATATGTATGTATGTATGCTTTCCACTCTATTTGTCTTCTCTGGCCAAGATTTATCGGTAGATCTTCAGAGGAAGTGGTGCATAGTAGTGGCTTCAATCTTGTGGTGTTTTGTATCCGAGTGATAGAATAGGGACAAGACACGTATTTGTATTGTTGCCCCTAAGGATAAAATGACGGGGTTTGATCTTATTGCTAGATTTTTTGTTGTCTACATTATGTCATCTTGCTTCTTGTGTTGCTTTGTTTCTTGTAAACTCAATATCTTGAGATGCATACTGGATAACAGTCTTGGGGTGGAGTAATAGTAGTAGATGTAGTTGGATTAATCGGTCTTCTTATCGTGGACATAATGCATATATGAGATTTTGCCATGAACGATCATAATTATAAAGATTGCTATCCTTGTCAACTACCCAACTGTAGTTTGGTACCATGACGTTTGCCTTCTTTTAAGAGAGATACCTCTAGGTAACCTATGGCCCAGGGTCTATTCTTCCATCAATACAAACTCCTAAAAATTCCTTCTTTACTATTTGTCGTACCAGTATCTATCTATCTATTTGCTTCTAACCTTGTAACTAGCAAGACAAGGGACTTGACAACCCCCTTGCCACGTTGGGTGCAAGTATTTTATCTTATTTGTGTGTAGGTGCCGCTTATCTTGCTAGTTTGTTGAGTCCTATTAGTTCGATTAAACCTTGGTTCTTCATCGAGGGAAAACATTGCTACTATCTATATCACCCTTCCTTTTTGGGAAAACCCAACAACTCCCACGGGAGTGGCAACGAGCGGCTTCAGTGCGAATAATGATGGGGTGCTTGTCAGTGGAAGGTGGATTGGGCCCACGCCAAACCGCATGTAAGCTTGGAAGAACTGTCCTTAATATGCAAATTTAGTCCTACGCGAAGGCCTTTCCGTGCAAGGAAAGACGCACGACTGGTACCCACCAGACTCCTCAAAAGGAGGCATGTGAAGCCATGACAAGGAAGCTTCAAGCCGTTCGTGGTGAAGAGACCCAGGAAGGAAGGCGTCCAACCAGCCCAAGACCAGGTATAAATACATGTGCGCCAGGTCCGGGAAAGAACAACTTCTACTTCCATCGCTAATATGATGGAAGCGAAACCCTAGTTTAGACCTAGATTAGATCTGATCTTAGACATTTTGTTGAGATAGGCCACCAAATATCCCAAGGACATATTCTACAACTTGTTGGATCCCCCATTGTACTCATTTATATATATAGTTCCAAACAAGCAGGATTAGCGTTGTTACTCGCGCGTAGGGCCTGAATCTAGGTAAAATCATCTCCATATGCCCGTTTGATATACTGAGGTATGTCAATTCATGCATGTTATTGTACATAGTTCGAGTACTTTGCAAAATAAAGTCAACAACCATTGATACTATCACATTCAAATTATTATTCTTAGTGAATTGTGAATTTTGTGACATGCTAGATGTAGAATGCTTATATCATCATTAGATTTTAAATACAATTTTGATAAAATGTACAAACTCAACGTCAATCATGCCTATGGCATTGTCTATATGCTCTGTAGTGCAGCATGTGCACATATGGTTTCATATGTAGTACGATATCCTTACTCCTTAGGGTGTGTTTGGTTGGCCCTGAAATTAGTCATAACAAAGCATTGGTTGGATGTTAACTTTATATTAGTACTAACCAGGAGATACCTTTTAATCTAGTAGTGCCTCGAAGAAAACAACAATGACATGTATGTGGGAGTCCAACCATGATGTAAATCTAAGAAAGATAAGATGATATAGTGTAAGCAAGCTCCAACCAAAGTCAAAACTTAGCTCACCAAATGAAAAGCCCATCAAGCCAAATCGTCAAAAATGAAATCTAAATCTTATAAATATCAAAGGTATCGAATACAATCCCATAGACTTCGGGAGAGCCATGAACTCTGAAAAAAGCCACCGCATTGCTTGTGTCTATATCGTTGATGCTGAATGGTAAACTTTGGAAATTATGCGAAACTAAAATATCTCAAGTATCAAATGTTCTAAACATAAAAACACCACCATAGCTGGAATAGCTCAGTTGGTTAGAGCGTGTGAGCCCAGTAATACTTCTTTGAGTTTGCTATTTCAGCCCAGAAGGTCCAAATCCCATGGTCCACAAGCACAGATTCTCTCTCCTCCTTACCATTACCAGTTGGAAATGCCGGACCGACCGCAGCACTACTGACGCCATAAAAAAATGGCGACCGCCATGCTGCCGTCCCCGTCTCTGCCTCCTACTCCCCGCGGCGTCTTATCGCCGCGCTGCTCACTACAGGCACCGACCCACGAGCAACGGGTGCCGGACGGGGCATCCCGGAGGCGGCATGCCCCGGTGCAGCGCGCGAGACACGAGGCCGCGGCGTACGCGCGGGAGATAGGCGCCTGCGTGCGGGCGCGGCGCTGGGGCGCGGCATGCGAGGCGTTTGCGGCCATGCGCGCCGCCGGGGCCGCGCCCGACAGGTTCCTCCTCCCGCAGGTGCTCCGGGCCTGCGCCGGCGCGGACGCGCCCCGCCTTGCCGCCGCAGCGCACGCGCTCGCCTCCAAGGGCGGGCCCGCGCTCGCCGACGACGCCGTGGTAGGGAACGCTGTCGTCGCCATGTACGCGGCGCTCGGGGACGTCCGCGCCGCGCGCGCAGCGTTCGCGTCGCTCCCCGAACGCGACGTCGTGGCATGGACCGCTCTCGTGGGCGCCTACGCCAACGCCGGGGAGCTGGGCGAGGCCTTCCAGCTGTTTGAATCGATGCAGGCCAGTGGCGTGCGGCCTGACGTGATTTCGTGGAACACCCTCGTCTCCGGCTTCGCGAGAAATGGTGATATTGGTGCTGCGCTCGATCTATTCGACGAAATGCGACTGAGGGGTGTCAAGCCACGGGTCAGTTCTTGGAACTGCATCATCTCTGGCTGTGTGCAGAATGCGCGCTATGATGAGGCTTTGGGCATCTTCCTGGAGATGTGCGAGACTGAGATGCCCGATGCAGTCACTATTGCTAGTATACTCCCTGCTTGCACTGGCTTGATGGCACTGGGCCTTGGAAAGCAGCTGCATTCTTATGCTGTACGTTGTGGTATCAAATTAAATGTCTACATTGGTTCTTCTTTGATTGGCATGTACTCCGAGTGCAGAGAGTTTGCTTATGCGACAAGTGTGTTCGCCGCCATTGATGGGGAGAGGAATGTCACTGTATGGAATGAGTTGATTCAATCATATATCAGTGATGGGAGGATGGACAAAGCGTGTGAAGCCTTTAACTTGATGCAGCAGGATGGATTGAAGCCTGACACTGTCACATATAACAATTTCATCGCTGCATATGCTAGAGCAGGTCAGAAAGAACTAGCAAATGAATTGTTGTCAGGCATGATGAATGTCAGCTTGAAGCCTAATGTGGTATCAATGAATGCTTTAATATCCGGTTTGCATCAGTTTGGCCTCTGTGCTGATGCACTGGAAGTTTTCAGATACATGCAGCTCCTAAACAGCGGAGATGCAAAGCGTTGGACATTTCTGGATAATAGCAACCCCATCCAACCAAATGGTACTACAGTTACTAGTGTCCTCTCACTGTTGACAGACCTCAAGTTAGATCGTCTCGGGAAGGAAGTACACTGCTATGCTCTAAGGAATGGTCTGACGTCAAACATATTTGTTTCCAGCAAATTGGTTGACCTTTATGGTAAAACTGGTGATATGGTATCTGCTGCTAATGTCTTCCAGGGAATCAGTAATAAGAATGTTGTCACATGGAACAGTCTGCTAGCAGCTTACAAGCATAATAGGAAGCCAGAAGTTGTTTTGAAACTATTCTGTGAAATGCTCGAGTCTAATTTACTTCCTAACTTGGTTACAGTGCAGATAGCGCTTTTGTCTTCTGGTATGACGATGGCATCAGGGTATGGGAGCGAACTGCATGGTTTCATACAGAAAAACTGGCCTGATGGTTATCCAGTCACTCTTGCAAGTGCGCTAATAGATATGTATGGGAAATGTGGTAAGATTGAGGATGCTAGACTGGCTTTTGAGCGCAGTGTTGAAAAGGATGTAGCAGTATGGAATGCAATGATGAGTTGCTACTTGCTTCATAGGATGCCTAGAGATGTTAAAAGATTGTTTGAAATACTTGAACAATCTAGAACTCGGCCAGATCCTGTTACTTTCATCTTACTTCTTTCAGCTTGTAAGCAAGAAGGTTCCATGGTGGAAGCTCGGAGCTATTTCTACAGTATGGAAGATTTGTATGGCATAAAACCAAGTTTAAAACACTACACTTGCATGGTTGACATCATGGGAACAGCTGGTTTATTGGAGGAGTCACTAGAACTTATCCAGAAGATGCCAGTTGAGCCGGATGCATGCCTATGGTCTACTGTTCTCAAAGCTTGTAAGCTTCACTCAGATTTGGACGTTGCGGCTAAGGCTGCAAAAGCTCTTTTCGAGCTTGAACCAAATAATGCTTCAAACTACATGTTGCTTTCCAATATATATGCGAACAGCGGCTTTTGGGATTCCACTGAATCTGTAAGAGATGCCATGACAGAGCACGGGTTGCACGTTGAGAGCCAGTGTAGCTGGCTATATCTTGGCAAAAGTGTGGATTCGTTTGAGGCTGGAGATTTGTCCCATCCAGCATTTGAGGATATTTTGAGTACATGGAAGGACTTGGCTAGTAGGATGGCAGAGTCTGGGTATGCTCCTCAAGACGATGAGCCCTATTGCAATGTACAAGTTGATCCATTGTCGTGCCACCACACCGAGCGGATTGCTGTGTGCTATGGACTTATTTCCATGCGTGCCCATGAGCCGATACGGGTCTCGAAGAATTTCCGAATGTGCAAGGAATGCCATTCCTCAATCAAGTTCATCTCAAGGGATAAGAAGCGGGAGATACTGATTTCAGATGGTTGCACCTATCACCACTTCAGCGATGGCTCGTGCAGCTGTGGGGACATGTGGTAGATGAAAGAGTCGGTCCGACGTGAATGCTGGCTCATATGCCATGGAAAATTAAAGCAATATGTGATGGGGGCAACCAATGAAACTGCCAGAAAAAGGGGGGCATCTTTAACCCCTCCCCTGGGCTGCAAATATGGTGTGCTTCAGGGGAGGTTGAAAGCCCAGAGCTCTTGCCAAGATCTGAGGGGACAAGTTTGGCCAGAATTATGTTGCTGCATGTTGAAGGAAGTGAAAAAAAAAAGTATTCTGCGGATATCCAGCAAGTGTACATGAACTTCATGGGTGGTTCATACTGCTGATGGGTTGTTGGTGATTGCGTCTGTTATGTAAGCATTTGTATGACATACTCCCTCCATCCCATAATGTAAGAACGTTTTGACTTAGTGTAGTGTCAAAAACGTTCTTATATTATGGGATAGAGGGAGTAGATTTGTAGTTCAAGGATTGTAGTGACTAGCCATATGAATCGAAATGTTAGGCTGCTTGGAATCAGCCAACTTTGTTGAAGATCGATTGTTCTTGCATGCTGCAGTTGTGACGAGTGTCAGAGCTGTGGGGTGTCGCATGGTGCAGTTCTTTCATGCAGGTCGGAGCTAATCGTGCATGCATGATATGGTGAATAATGGTTTCCTGGTTTTCTATCTTATTCTCTCTTCAGCGTCTATCGGTGTTATTTGCTAGTAGTTGAGATTATTAGCTTGCTGCTATCTCTACCGGTTAAGAGACGGAGAGAGAACGGACAGAACATCTGAAACACCATTCTTCGGCACCATTTTTCGGGCAGGTATACATTCTTTAGTGGTTCGAGGCCACTATCCCTGGCTAAACCTCATTCCCCAAAATATGTTTACAGTTTAATTTTCTCTTACAATAAGCACCAAATCTATTTACTAAAAAACAAAAAAGGCTTATTTCCTAACCATGCTAGAGAAGGGCCTGAGCTTAGCCTTCTGGATAATAGACTCAGTTTTTTGACAAAAAAAAAATACAGGTGTCTCCGGTCCGACTCCATCACGTTGGGCGACAATGAGACTGGTGCAGGAGCTAGAGACGGACACCTATTTCAACTATGGTCGGGGCTCCGCCCGCTCGCGCTGACACCATCAAGATAGTGGTCAATGGAACTTTTTGATAAACAAACGGCTCAACAGATGAACAAATACCACATGTTAAATATCATCCGTAATGCATAGTAGGACAAACATGCTTCAAACACGAGTACAACATTATTTATACACAAATTACTGTATCCAAAGGCCAACCATGTTTTTTTTTTTTTGCGGGCAAAGGCCAACCATGGATGCAGTTGACAGTCTTACTTACTCTCGCGTTGGCCAGCCATGATGATACAAGCAAGAGAAACTGCACCAACCACATACTTCAAAGCCCTAGCACGAGTAGCGCCCTGTGGATGCAGGTAAGCCCTGGTTGAGTCAAGTGACTGCTTAACTCTCTTTTTCATCTGGGGCAAATTTCTGGGTAACAGCTGTTGTCCAAAATTCTGGGGCCAACTTTTGGGTAACATCTGTTCTTCCAAATTTCGTACGGGTAGAAACTGCAATTGAAAATAAAGGATTATATGATTCATTTGAATACTCACAGGCCCTGCCAAACAGCCGCAAACCCATTTGATTTTACTAATTTTCTGGCAGGAGTCCCTTAAGAGAGATATGAAGGACTGGAATATCACCAAAGAACTAGCCATGGACAGCGGTGCGTGGAAGTTTCGAGATCTTATGGGTTTCAGCTCTAGCCTACCCCGGCTGCTTGTTTGCGACTAAAAGGCTTTGTTGCTCTTGTTGTCTGGCAGGAAGATGTCCCAAAAGTCAACAAACATGCAAAACATAAACACCTAACATAGTGCTAAAACAATAAAGAGAACATGTCAAAATGAGAGGAGGACAGAGTGCACATGTGATGCAAGAGAATTTGCAAATAACAGGTCAAAATAAGAATGCGCCTTTACGAACTAATCATCGTGATAGAAGGGTTCACAGATATACAGGGTCCGATTTATTTCACTAACTCATGCACATTCTAGTTTCCAAATGTGAATGCCAAAAATAGAAAACTGACCTCTTCGACAAGAATGACTCCAGTCTTCTTTGCTTGAATACAACACTCCCTGGCAAGGTTCCTTATTTTCACACGATTGAAATATTCTCGCATGAGCAACTACAAATTATGGCAAAAAAGGAAGTGTAAGGTCCAGCTACAAGATAACTAGGTTAAGGAAGATGCAATTCAGCATGAGACTTGCCTCGTCAGGGAATTGTAGATGCTTCTCTAATTCTGAACTCATACGAGAGTTGATGTCCTCCTCCAAAGCTACCTTATCAAACTGCAAATTTGAAAAAAGATGGAAGACAAAGTGTAAAACCTAACAGGCCACAAAATGCAAGTACTCCGTCCGTCCTGTAATATAAGATGTTATTACAGCCAATATATGAGTACATTGGTTATAATAACATCTTATATTATAGGACGGAGGGAGTAACATTTTTGCAACAAAATAGAACCAGCCACTCCATTGGAAATAGAACCTCAAGCGTTGAATTTTTTAAATTTGGATACAAAGTTGAAAATCAAGAGAAACCTCAAATGACAGCACTGATGGCCATGTGGTTTTGCTCTTTAGGTTGTACTCCCTCCGTCCAGGTCTATTAGTCCCCCTTCGTATTTTGGGTCATACTTTGACCGTATATTTGACTAGCGAAATATAAGTGATATGTTACAAAACTTATATTGTTAGATTCATATTTGAAAGTACTTCCCAATGATACTATTTTTGCTAAATATAACATATACTCCCTCCGTTCCAAAATAGATGACCCAACTTCGTACTAACTTTGTACAAAGTTGGGTCATCTATTTTGGAACGGAGGGAGTATTTCATTAGTAAAATTTATGGTCAAACTTGACCCAAAATGCTAAGGGGACCAAAAATACGCAAGGGACTAATAAACCCACACAGAGGTAGTATGTAAGATCTTGATAAATGAAACCTGGCTTGCCGTTAATTTTTCCACACAAAGGGTCATGTTAGCCACAAGGCTGGCAGTGAGCGAAGGTTTTCGAAAATGGTCTTTTTTCCAAACTTTTGAACAAAATTGGAATAACATAATCAAAATCCATGAAATTTGGTATTTCAACTAAACTTCCAAGAAAGAGTAACACAAAAATGTTCTTGATGGTCGGTCTCACCAGAAAACATAATTGTTGGAGAGGAATATCTAATTTGACATTTTGAAAACATAAAGCCAACATGAAACTTGTGAAGATTTAAAGCCACTTGGACAATATTTGGTATAACAGACTTTCAAACACAGTTTATGCACATAGCAGGCATAAGATCCCAAAGCTTTTAATTCATATCTGAAAAATAATACATGGGCTGTTCAGTATTTGTTCCCATAAATAGACATATTATGTCACTACAATTATTTAGACCATGCTAGAAACATGCCTGCTATATTCATAACCTTTGCAAATACCTCCTCTAACACATGCACAACCTTTTACCAATACATATACACCAGAATTTAGGGCTTAGGGTATCTAAATTTGGGTAATCTTTTGCTCACAGCTAGTGTTGTGGTCAACATCAATGGCCAACTCGTGCTTCAAGCCCATTTGATATATCCGTGCTTCAACATCACATGCTCCTTTAACTTCTATTTCTCTCTTTCTCGTAAGACCGATTCAGGTATTTGTGAATCAATTGCCATTTCATAGTCTAGACTTGGTCTTTTGGGGAAAGAGAACCAAATCAAGGAAAGACCAATTTAAATTTAGTGGTTTGTCTGAACTATGCTTACAGTTCACCCATCATCACATATTTATTACAATTGGGTTGCTTTGTTTTCAATTATTATTTCTAGATTCAGATATTCATGAACCAAATGTTGCTCCAGTCATTACATTTTTTCTGGGAGACACTAACACTTAAGCCATAACCAGCGCTGAAAGATCCCACAGGGGATGGGATTTGGGGAAGGAAAATTCTGGCACAATACCAGGACCTCCATGGCACCGGTGGAGACTCTATAACTGTATCAGGCCACCAACCTTTATGGGTAAAGGTGAACGTTATGTGGAAATACTTATGTTCAAGTGTGCAGAATGGAACAGCATAATTTTCAGTTTATTTTAATTTAGAACTTCATCAAGATGTATGTCCTGATACTGTAATTATCAAGACAAAAATTAATGCTAATCTAACCTCAGTCATGCTGCTGCTTGTGGAAGTTTTGTCCAATTTACTCACATGCATCCTTAAAAATTTCATATGACCCTGTTAAAAGAGAATAACTATATAACTTGAATAAATTGGCAGTGCGTTCACAATAAGAAAAAGGCAACAATAACCTCTAGACCACGTTGTAGCTCATAATCATTCAGCACATCAGACCATCTAGTTGACTCTTTGATCCGTTTTAAAACTTCTTCAGGATTACTATTCCACTGCAAAATGTTCAAACTGAATCAACAAGTTCAATCGAGGAAGCAAAAATGATAAAACTGACATGTACCTTGATAAAATCAAGTTGCAGAAGGGCTTTGCAGTATGCATAATATCTTCGAACACCATGCAATCTTTTCATAAGAGAATCTTTGTGCTGTAAAAAAGATATTTGAAAGGCAAAAGAATTGGAACAACAACACAGATTCTTAGGACATAACAGATTCATATTATAATCTAATCTCTCTACGAGCAAAAGGTCAGATGTGCAAAGTTAATTCCACAAGAAATTAAGAACTGAATGTAACAGAATATTTGAATGATCCAGAACTGAAACACTGATCATCTGCAGAATAAATGGTTCAACACAGTAAAATCATTACAGAAGAATATGCTGAAACAGAATCTGGCATATGATGTTACACGGAACACTTGACCTGGCAGATAGTAACAATGAAAGGAAAAGATCAAGCTTAGCGCCAATGAAATGATGATATGAAGGAACAGGCAAATTTTCATTAGCATGGTGAACTTAACTTTAACGCCAATATGATCAGTTACGTTCCACAGTAACGAGAAATATTATCTTGTTGATATGCAAAGTCAAAATCAAACAACCATCACATGGGATGAAAACAACCCACTACTACCATTATTACTACTAGTATTAATACCACTGTCTATGTTATTTTCTGTAGCCAGCGGCATTTTATGGCAGCCACTCTTTGGAGGCAAATTTCAAAACACCAATCTTTGAGTTCATCTTTCTCTAATGCCTAGCAAATGAGCTACCAAAGTAAAAACGATGGTGCCTCATTAACAACACCACATGGATCAGTTTTATTGCAGATCCCTCAGTCATGGCAAAGCGCTTAGAGAGAGACACCAGAACAGAAGGCCCAGCGGCACCTGATGCAAGCATATATTTTGTGACTACGACTGAGTTGGTTGTGGCGCCAGTAGATTGAACCACCTTCACTTCGGGGGGATTCAGTGGCCAGGTTGTCTATTTGTATGCGCATGCATGTGCCACAGGCAATCCACTATAGGAGATGGAATTATCCGCCTGCCGACGTATTCATGTGGATAATGATACAAATCCATGTGGCTTCATGGTCAGTTAGAATTTTATGCGAACTTCAAGTTTAAGAGTAATTATTTGTAAATCATAAATACACCAGAGAGAGAGAGAGAGAGAGAGAGAGAGAGAGAGAGTTAATAATCGAAACAGTTATTACCAATCATTCAATAAGATGAGTGCTTAGCACATATGCTCACATAGATTTGCAAATAAATATCATGACGCCAGAAATTAGAAGTTTAGGCAGGGCCCTCACATGTATGTTATATGTACAAGTTCAAGAAGCATGCCACATATTTGTGCCGACTTCATATAATCGTGACAACATATTTAATGTAGTGATAGCAACAGACAATTATACATCTCAAGCACCCAGCAGGCAACAAGCAGGTGCAAAAGGAACAAAATTCTGCTGCAAACACATACATTCTTACGGCGGATAAGTTTGATCTCAGCCTCAGTCGAGAAACGTGGTGATCCATCATCAGCCAAACTTTCTTTACTTCCATCAGCATCATCAACAACCACAGAATACTGCAAGATGAAGGTTCCATTCAGTACAGAATAGAAAATGATTAGAAAAGAACCAAACTTCTCTTCGAAACAGATTTAGAAATTAAAGCCCTTTGCAATTTACAGATAGTCCCAAACCAATCACTAATTCTCCCTCCTCAATTTGAAAGAGCTAGTGCTCAAATGTAGAAAATTTAAATCTTTCTCATGTTTCCACGCACGACCTATGTCTACAACTTTCCATTTCAGCCTAAATGCAGAAAAGTAAGTGACGTAATGCACAATGTTCTATTCCTTCACTTGTTCTTCTAGTAACTAGGGGCATGTCTTTATCCAAAATAAAAACATGAAGTCTCATAAATTTTCTCTAAGAGTAATCTTAGGAACAGAAAATGGAAGGAGGAATTATTCTCTCTTATTGCTGAGCTGGGGTAGAACCAATTGCGGAGAAGCTTGTCCAACATCGTCTGAGATGGTTTGTGCATATTCTCTCTTATTGCTGAGTTGTGTGGGAAGTGCAACCAAATAGGACATAATGGAGGCAGAAGCACAACTCCAACAACTAACATGAGCTCTCATTATTTTAAAAATTAACTATTCATGTATTATGAATTACAACACAACTATTAAATGCATTAAGTGCAATCAGCTGCACCACCCACACTCTCCCAGGCTACACCTAATGTGATGAGTTCTCAATATTCTTTAATTTACATTCTTGTATTATGAACTACGATATTTGTAACATGTATTACAGCCTCGGGCTGCACCATCAACACTCTCCCAAGCTACATCATCCACACAACCAAGAATGGTAACCACAACCACGAGTTGCAACTTCCATGGTAAGCTCACACTTTTGTCAACGAATTTTTGAACTCTTGTAGCTGAACTTGACCAATGTTTTGTAGCCTTCCCATGAAAGCACGGCAGCTGGTAGGAAGAGATGCATGTACACAATCCGGACAATCAACTTCTAAGAGAGCGTCTAACAAGGGTATCCATAACAAAACCTCCGGAAATATTGTGAATGTGCGGGGTTTGGTGCAAGGGTCTCAAAAAAGATCAAGTATTACTTTGCATGTGTCATCTAGAAATGCACGGCAATCAACAAACCAACCTACTGGGAAGAAAGGAGCACAGTAGCACGGAAGGCTAGGCAGGCTTTTAGGGCTCTAGATGATTATTTGTGAACTTGTGATGCTTTAGTGTTGTGATATGCCAGACCATTGGCTATTGTCGAACTATGTTCCATTCGTGCTGTTGTGTCCCAAACTCCTAGCTCTACATTGTCGTGAACCATATGGATCATGTGTGCCCAATTTGTTGTTTTTTTCCATTATGTGAGACCATTAAGACCTTGTGAACATTATGGATTGGATGAGGAACTAGAATGTGAGTAATATGTATATTGATTGATATGGTTCCTGTTATGCCGAAGTACTGCCAAAAAACCTACAACGTACTACCATTAGGCTATCGAAATGCTCACAAATCTAGAAAGTGGGAAAAATACAAATTGTTAGAAAACATTGAAGTAATTCCAGTAAATCGGGAATAATTCAATTACCACTCTGGTATAATTTCAGCTAAATTGGCTTACAGTTTGAATGAAACTTGCTTATTTAGTTTCATATTTCAATTTTTGGGTTCAAAATTCGGACTTCACTGAAAAAAACTGAAAAATTCCAGTAAATCAAGAATAATTCATTGAACATTCTGGTATAAATTTTGAAAAACATTTTAGTAAATTAGAAATAATGTAGTGACAATCTGGTGGAATTTTGGCTAAAATGGTCATGCGTTTTGACATTTGACAGAAACCTGCTATTTTTGTTTCAGCTACAAGGATAGAGAAATGGTGACATGGCAGAGATGAGAGAGAAAATAATGATGTGGTAGTTCTGACTAGGATAGAACCTGAGTGGAAACACATCAAAACCG